CAGAAATACGCGTATCTCGCGGTCCTAACGTTTGCCAGTAATACATTGGTTCTTATTTATATTTACATGCCTACTCCCACGCTTCTCGTAAGACAGAAACTTGGCGCTTTTCAGATACGATATCACTATCCCACCCTAATCCTAACCCTTACTCCAACCCTAACCCTAACAGAAATTCATTGAGTAGGCATGTAAATATAGATAAGCACATTCATGCGCTACCAAGGAAACTCCTGCCATAATTTTATCTACTATTTCCTTTTTTCCCTGTAATTCTTTTATTTTCTCTCCTGTACTCCCCCCCGTATTGCTTCACCCTTATAACTCCATTGCCACTGGTCCCTATAACAGCATTCTGAGCTTTTTCTTTCCGTGGTATCACTTAAAATAGACTTACCAACAACAGAATTGTAAAAATTTACCTGGCTACGATTTATGCTAGCTTGTTTTCTGTGCCCAGCAATAATGTACTGTGTAAAGGTATTGTGACCATAGGAAGTAGACGTGATATGGGCACCTCCAAATCTTTTGCAGTGTTTGGCAAACAATGCCTCAGTTGGGGGAATTTTTATTTATTAACCTGGGCCTCCCGCCTGCAGTAGGCCTTGTTTTTCCATATCTGATTAAGCACGTTTTTGGCACATGTGAGTTGACGTATCGTTGGCCTGGTTTTTAGGAAGCATGCCCTTGGTTCCCGGCCTCTGGCAGATGTTTACCGGCATTGTCCGTTTGTTCTGCGTGAATATTTTTTGAGCATACAGATATCGGCGACCCTCACGAAATAATTACTGATTGCAGTGATTTAAGTTACTAGGGAAGACCCTTGCCGCTCTGCAACCTTCAGGCCTGCTTCTGCAGGGAAAGAGACATGATGGGACGTTTGGTGGGCGGAATAGTTTAAATTGTACAGATCTAATGGAGAATAATTCGGAGGAAGTCGACAGTCGAATGAGTGCACAATCATCCGCGAGAGGGTCGGCCCCCGAACTGTCATCACAGCGTGTAGAGGGCGGTCACTTGTGAGACCGCCATAGGGAGATGATTGGTCAGACCGGATTGGGGTGGGCAAAAACTAGTGCGTGCGCGCGTGCTAGCGGCCACGACTACTCGTTGAGGCGAAGTTTTGCATTGCAGATGTGTGTATATAATTAAATTTAAAAAATAAGGCTTTTTGTTCGCCGGAATCATGACTCTATTCGTGTATGCTTTCAAACTCTTATTCAAGCCCATCATTAGAGATAAAAGCGGCAGCGAAACAAGCAACAGTGATAGGGATCACTTAATCAGCATTGACCTCGTACCGGCGTACAGACGCCCGCGCAGTCACATCTAGGCTGACATCACTGGTGCTTGATTGGCTCCCACCACCTTGTTTCTTCGCCACTTTTTATCTTTGACGATGAACTTCAGTAAGAGATCGAAAGCTCAGGTGAATACTGATATGTTTCCGGCGAGCTAAAAGCCTTCTCATTTTTTTTAATAACAAAATATCCAAGTATTCTTTTTTTTTCACTGTGCTTTTTTTCTTCTCAACTAGCGATTCTCTTGATCCGGAAATTGCCTTCCAGATGGCTGTCGGAAATTTGGACTTCTATACCGGCGAAACCGTGGGCAACTTTGACGTTGACAAATTTCGAGTAGGTCTTATACCTGAACCATGACATTCAGTACCCAATAACCATTTTATTTTTTTTTCGACGGAAAGTTTAGCCTTAATTGTTGACTCTCGGAGTCCGTTAATCGGTAAAATAATTGAGTTGACCCAATTGTGAAAAACTCGAGGCGTTTTAGCGGTTAGAGCATTGGCCTCCGGCAAAGGTCTTCCCTGATGCGCGGGTTCATATCCCGCCAAACGCCTTGAGTTTTTTCACAATTGGGTCAACTCAAATTAAGC